GGTGAGCGACCCCTCCGAGCTCCGGGACTCGCGTGCTCTGCCGCGGCCGCCGCGGCTTTGCCAAGGAGCAGCGGGAGCGCAAGCGAGAGTTCAAAGGAAGGAGAGGCCTGTGGAGCTTCCTGCGGGGGCTCGGACGGGCTTTCCCAGGCCAGTTCTGTGGGTTTGGGTCGTTTTGTTTCCAGCTCCCGGGTTTGCTCAGGTGTTAACCCTTCCTGGGCCCTCGGATTAGTTTACGTCTCCTCCTCCCTACAGTTAACCTAGAAAGAAAAGCAGCCAAGTCTGCTTGTTAAAAAGTAAATGCTCCACAGCCTGTCGGCCTGGGCAGTTTCCCTCCGCCCCCAGCCGAGGGGCGGCTCATCTCGCCTCCTTGCCCTGGGTCGGGGCCTCTCCCGGGATGAGCTTGCTGAGAAGAGTTCTGTCCTCTACCGAAACGCTTTCCACATTTCCTACTGCGAAGTACGGGCCCTGGGTCTCTTGAAGAAAAGGGAGACCACGACTCTTCTGGGTTCCAAAGGGCCTCTGGGACTAGTGATGTCCGAGTCGTTCGTTCCCTGCTTAGGAGAGCCAGGGATGCTAGGCAGCGCCAGGGATCATGGTTTGTCACAAAACTCAGGTAGAACTGGAATCAGATAATGGATCCCCTCCACAAATCTGATGCCCGGGGAAGGCCTCTGTCATTTGAAACAGAAACAGAACGTGTTTTCCCTGATAGGACGCGCAATTTCCCTTCATTTCATAGCCACAAATACCTACTGCGCCCTCCCTGCGTCCCTTCTCCTGTCAAGAACCTCGACCTCTCCTGAGCTTTCTCCCCACCGCACTGAGGACCTTGGCCTTCATTCCTCTTCCTAACCATGTCTGCGTGTGGTTTTTTGTGTTTGTTTTTGTTTGTTTGTTGTTTTTAGGGGGTGGTAGGGGGGATTGAACTCGGTCCCTCAGGCCACCGAACCCGCTGAGCTAAATCCCTGGCCCTACCATGTGTGTTTTTGACGGCCATGTAATGCGACGTCATCAGGTGAGCAGCTGGAATATTTCTCTGCTTAGCAAGATTAAAGTCTCAGCCTTCTAATCAAAACGCGACTGTATTTTAACTGATTTGGGTTTTTTTCTCCTCCTTCTCCTCCCCCCCTCCCCCAGCGCGGTCATTACTTCACTTCAGGCATCCGTGGAGAAAGCTTCCTAAAACCCTGAGTTCCGGTTCCCATAAAGGGCAAAACTGTGACAAACCTAGTAGCAACCATCCAAAAGAGGTACCTGTTTAACCAAGTGAGTTTACCTTTTCATAGAATAGAAAGGTGTCTCTCTGAGAAGAAACAAAGCCCCACCTCATCCTGCTGGCGTTTTCTTTCTTTCCCTAATTGATTGATTGATTGATGGATACCAGGGACAGAACTCCGGGTCCTCGCACTTGCGAGGCAGGTGTGGGCACCACTGAGCTAAATCCCCGGCCAGTTCCCTTCATTATTGAGCAATTCAGCAATTTTAACTTCTCTTGTTGTTTGTGGGAAGCGATGCTTTGCCCTCCTGAGGCTGTGTATCTTAAAACTGTCGCCAAAAGTTAGAAAAGAGCCTGACAGTAATTCCAGGCCAGCCTGGACAGACTTGTTTGTTGGTCTCTCTCACGGCTCTGCTTGAAACGCATTGTTTTGTCCTGTCTTTATCTTACTCCGAACAGTTGCACAGGCAGAACGTGAGTGGAGATACCGGTGTGCAAAAGTCAGTCGTGCACGTATGCTACAGGGCTGAGCGCTAAGAAAGTATCATCATTGTGATACTCTGCCTTACATGTCAACCAGTAATTACGTGTAAACCTGTGTTTCCCCTTTACACTGTAGCAAGTAACCCAGAAAGAAAGCGTATGTAGGGAATGTGTTCACTGTGAAATGGAGTTGACTACTCATAAGTATGGCTGATTAAAAGCCATGTATGTTGTGGCTGAAGCCAGTCTGCTCTGTACCTTTTGACCATGAAGTCGCTTTCATAGTGACAAAGTAAAATTTTGTGGGGGAAATGTTCCATCGCCTTTCATCTGACATGAGCCAGGTGCTGTGGTGAATATATTTACTACAAACACAAAAAGTGAAAAGCTGGTTCTTCTACTCACCAGCTTCATTTGAGCAAACACTCAAGGGAGAAATGAATCAGGAAGTGGCAGAGCCCTACTTGTTCTTTATCCATGACAATAGTCTAGAACTCACAGGACACTCCATCTTTTAAGATCAAAGGGCAGGAGCACTCTTAACAACACAAAACTTGGAGCAAATAACAGGCCTGAGCTATTATCTTTCAGGCCACAACCCTGTTCGCAATTTCTTATCTCTACAACCTTCATGAGAGATTTTTTTGGGCAATTATATCTGTATAAAGGTGCTTGCAATTAACCATCTTCTGCCTCCTCCTACTGTTCGAGACGTGCTTCCTAGGAGCCGTCCTAAATTGAAACTTGACTCACAGGATGCTTAAGAAAACAGCACACACACTTGGAGGAAAAATGAGATGCACTGTAAGCTGTGCAGGGCTCCACACTTACTGCAGTCTTTCTGGAAAAGAAGAAATTGTTTCAGGGCCGGGGATTTAGCTCAGTGGTTCTGGCACCTGCTTTGCAAACTCAAAGCCCCAAGTTTGATCCCCAGTACCCCCCCAAAATATATATACATATATTATTTCAGAAAATAATTTCTGTTCACATAACAGGGTTTGTTCAAACTCCAAGTGCTGTCAGATGAAGGGGCATTACTACTAGGGTGCTGCTTTTATTCAGTCCTAATAGCCTGACCTTTCTTCTGGGTCTCTAGCATTTCTCCTCCCTGTTCATTCGATAGGACTAATTTTTTGACCTGTGCAATGCAATTATGAGGCTCATTTGTTCATCTTGGCTGACCTGCTGTCAGAATCAACAGAGATGGCATTGTACTCTTACAGGCTCTTGTAGCTTTTTGTTCTTTATATTTCTAAGTAGACGATGTGGGGGTAGGATATTTTGAATCAAATAAGCGTTAAAAAATCCACCTACCAGTTAACATCACAGTTTAAAAAAAAAACAACAACAAAGCATTTAACATGCAAGAATGTTTACCTGCTTTTGGCCACCTATCAACACAACATTTACTATCTGGATGAAAGTAACAACTTAATTATGTTTGACATATTTGTGATGAAAAAATGGACTGCACTAAAATGGGTTACACTGATAGTCTGCTTCCTGAATCCTAATAAGCTAAAATATTTGTGACCAATAAGTTGTAAAGCACAAGAAGGAGCAACTCGAAACAGTCTAAAAGAAATTAATGAGGTGGAAGAGAGTGCTATTAAAGAGGACGGGGACATTATCTTACATTTCCTTTTAAATGGCAGCAACGTGTAGGGAAACAAAGCCCTTTTTATTTTCCTAAAAATTATTGGACTCAAAGATAAGTTAAACTCTTGCATGGGGCGGGGGCATGAGCTCAGCAAGCACTTAGTGAATTAAAAAGATAAACGTGTTAAAAGAATAATGCTGCACAATGCATAACAGCAGAGAATGCCAAAGCGTTTATCGCTGTGGACTTAGTTATCCAGTTTTCTTTTGTTTTGTTTTGCTGAACTGATCCAAATACCTGAGCCATGTGGAGAAGATAATTGTGGAGTGTCAACTCCAGGAGGAGCTGTACTTCTGCAAAGTGGAGACCCTGGTGGGGGCTGTCCCTGCTGGCTCAGATCGCCCGGCTTTTGGCCACTAAAATGCTCTCGGCCACGCAGGCACACGCACTGCTCTGATTCAGCCTCTCTGGCTTAAGCTGTATTTCTTTCCTCCTCTCCCATCCATCTTCCTTCCCTGGGTCCTGAATGTCATCATTGTCCTTCCGTCTCTATGAACGCTTTCTTGAGGTACAGTTCGCATGCTTAAGATTCACCCTCTTAAAGCTCACATGCAATTCGTGAGGTCTGAACACGTGCACGAGGTGACTGGACCAAAGCTACTGTCCCATCCATCAATCCCGAAA